TAGCATAGGGAAAATTGAATTTTTATCAACTTAAACGTCAGTTTCAAGAGTAAACATTCAGTGTTGAAATAAAGTCTGAATTTGTCTATCTATCTATCTGTCTATCTATCTATCTATCTATCTATCTATCTATCTATCTATCTATCTAATTTTTTTTGAGAGAGAGAGTGTTGTGTTGCCCAAGCAATAGTGCAGTGGTGTGATCTGAGGTCACTGCAACCTCCACCTCCCAGGCTTAAGCAGTCTTCCCACGTCAGCCTCCCGAGTAGCATATACTACAGGTGCACACCACCACCCCTGGCTAATTTTGTATTTTTCGTAGAGATGGGGTTTTGCCATGTTGTCCAGGCTTGTCTCAAACTCCTAGGCTCGAGCAATTTTCACACCTCAGCCTCCCAAAGTGCTGGGATTACAGATGTGAGCCACTGCACCCTGCCTTATTTTTTTACTTTCTTTTTTTTTTTGAGACCGAGTTTCATTCTGTCGCCCAGGCTGGAGTGGTGTGATCTCTGCTCACTGCAAGCTCCGCCTCCCGGGTTCACTCCATTCTCCTGCCTCAGCCTCCCGAGTAGCTGGGACTACAGGCACCCGCCACCACGCCTGGCTAATTTTTTTGATTTTTAGTAGAGACGCGATTTCACCACATTAGTCAGGATGGTCTCGATCTGACCTCGTGATCCACCCGCCTCAGCCTCCCAAAGTGTTGGGATTACAGGCATGAGCCACTGCACCCGGCTATTCCTTTACTTTCTTAATAAACTTGCTGTCACTTTACTGTCTGGACTCACCCCTAATTCTTTCTTGCATAAGATCCAAGAACCCCTTCTTTTGGGTTTAACTGCCTAATAGGTTCTCCTGGTCTACTGCCTAGACAGAGCCAATTCATCAAGACAGGGGAATTGCAATAGAGAAAGAGTTTAATTCACGTGGAGCTGGCTGTACAGGAGAGTGCAGTTTTATTATTACTCAAATGAGTTTCCCTGAAATCTTGGAGATCAGGGTTTTTAAGGATAATTTGATGGGTAGGGGCCAGTGAGTCGCGAGCGATGATTGGTTGGTTGGAGATGAAATCATAGAGAGTTGACGCTGTCCTTTTGCACTGAGTCTGTTCCTGGGTGGTGTCACAAGACCAGATGAGTCAGTTTATTGATCTGGGTGCCAAGTTATCCATCAAGTGCAGGGTCTGCAAAATATCTCAAGCACTGATCTTAGGTTTTAAAATACTGATGTAATTCCCAGGAACAATTTGGGAAAGGTGACAATCTTGTAGCCTCTAGCTGCATGACTCCTAAACTATAGTTTCTAATCTTGTGACTAACTTGTTAGTCCTACAAAGGCAGTCTAGTCCCCAAGCAGATAGGGGATTTGTTTTGGGAAAGGGCTGTTAATGTCTTTATTTCAAAAGATGAACTAAGTTCCTCCCAAAGCTAGTTTGGCCTACACCTAGGAGTGAACAAAGGCAGCTTGGAGGCTAAAAGCAAGATGGAGTTGGTTAAGTCAGATCTCTTTCACTGTAATAATTTTCTCAGTTATAATTGTGCAATGGCAGTTTCAGGTTCTGGATCAGGACCCCTTTCCGGAAACATGGGGATGGTTATGAATGCATCCAGACATCCAAAAAGCCACCTCTGAGAGCTACAGATTTCCCTTTTCTATAGGTTCTTTGTCCCTTGTATGTCAACCCAAGGATTCACTGGGGACCTAGAACTGCACAGGCCAATCTGGGAAGAGAGAGACAGGAAAGAGAAGAAGAGGAGGTGAATTAGTTTTGAAGAAAAGACAGAAGGTCCCATGCTACCCCTTTTTGTTTTTTCTGACAAACTTTTCATGCTGGGAAATAGAATCCTGGTTTATTTGTAGTAAAACTAGGAATCCAGGGATTTTATAGGAGGGTGAGAAAAATGCACTTTTATGGTAGAGTCTGTGGAGACCTAATTAGGGAAAAGGAGTCAGGCTGGCAGGACCAGGGAAGAGCAAAGAGATAAAGCAAATAAGCTATAAATCTGCCTTTCTAGGCCAGGTGCGGTGGCTCACGCCTGTAATCCTAGCACTCTGGGAGGCCAAGGCAGTCGAATTGCCTGAGCTCAGGAGCTCCAGACCACCCTGGGAAACATGGTGAAACCCCGTCTCTACTAAAATAATAAAAAAATTAGTTGGGCATGGTGGTGGGTGCTTGAAGTCCCAGCTACTGTAGAGCCTGAGGCATGAGAATTGCTTGAACCAGGAGGCAAATGTTGCAGTGAGCTAAGATCATGCCACTGCACTCCAGCCTGGGTAACAGTGAGACTCTGTCTCAAACAAAACAAAACAAAACAAAACAAAAGTTTAAAAAACTGCCTTTCTTCATGGTCCAGGACATATAAACAAAATACAGGAAGCAGATAAGCTGTAAGTCTGTTTTTCTTTATGGCTCAGGACATATAACCCTTCTGCACAGATAACATACATAGCTCATAAACTTTCTGCTTCAATTTTTCATCAGACACCTTACAGAAGAAAGCAGGTTAGCTCCCTGCTACCTTGGCATTATCTTCTATTTATTTATTTGTTTGTTTATTGAGACAAGAGTCTCACTCTGGCTCCCAGGCTGGAGTACAGTGGTGTGATCTTGGCTCACTGCAACCTCTGCAAATCTCCCACCTCAGCCTCCTCAGTAGCTGGAAGTACAGGTGCGGGTCACCATTGCCAGATAATTTTTGTATTTTTAGTAGAGACGGAGTCTCACCATGTTGCCCAGGCTGGGCTGGAACTGCCCACCTCGGCCTCCTAAAGTGTGGAGATTATAGGGGCAAGCCACTTTGCCCAGCCCAATCTCCTCTTCTTACAAAGAAATCAGCCAGATTGGATCAGAGCCCACTTTAACAAGCTTATTTTAAGTTAATCACTCCTGTAGATGCCATATATCCAAATACAGTTACATTCTGAGGTACTGGGTATTAGGACTTCAAGATAGGATTTTTTTTGTGAAAATTATTCCGCTCATAACACACTGTGTTCTGGACTCCTAAACTTTATGTCCTTCTTACATGCAAGATCCCTTCACTCCCATCCAAACAAAAATCTTTTATTTATGTATTTATTTTTTGAGACAGGGTCTCTCTCTGTCACCCAGGCTGGAATGCAGTGGTGTAATCACGACTCATCGTGGTCTCGACCTCCTGGGCTCAAGTGATCCTCCTGCCTCAGCCTCCCAAAAGCTGGGACCACACATGCAGGCCACCATGCCTGGCTAATTTAATTTTTTGTAGACATGGGATCTGACTATGTTGCCCAGGCTGGTCTCAAACCCTTGGCCTTAAGTGATCCTGCCACTTCAGCTGCCCAAGTAGCTGGGACTACAGGAGTGTGCCACTGAGCATGGCTAATTTTTATATCTTCTGTAGAGACGGGGGTCTTGCTATGTGCCCAGGCTGATCTTGAACTCTTGAGCTCAAGTAATCTGCCAGACTTGGCCTCCTGAATTGCTGGGGTTACAGGCCTAAGCTACCTTGCCTGGCCCATCTGAAAAGTCTTAATCCATTTCAGTATCAACTCTAAGGCCCAAATATCACCTAAATATTATCTGAATCACATATGGGTGAGAAACAATGTGTGGTTCATCCTGAGGCAAAATTTTTGTCCAGCTGTGAATCTGTGAAGCCAGAGAAGTTATCTGATTCCAAAATACAATGGTGGGACAGGCATAGGAAAGACCCTCAGCCCTGGAAACCACCCTTCTACTTTGTTACTGTGAATTTGACATTTGTACTTAGCACATGTAAGAAAGTGCATGAAGCATTTGTCTTTCTGTGTGTTGGGAACGGTGTTGCAAAAATCAACACTGAGACAAGGGAGCTCTCAGCAAGGCTAGTTTACTTTCTGCAGAAAGGGTGCCGCTCACTAGCAGTCTTGTCACGAGAGCACACGTGAACAAAGGAGACAGGGTCATTTATAACCTGACGTGTCCATCCTACTGCTGTGTCTGGTTTCCATTGGTTGGAACTGGACCTCACATTCTGTACTTGACCCGATTGGCTAGCACCTTAGTACTTCCCAAAAGAGGCAAAGGCAGAGGAGAACAAAGGAAGAGAGGAAGTAACTTGTGGAAGACTGAGAGAGGCAAAAACACTTCCAAATAAGGAAGAGAAATAGGCTGTGACCTAATGCTTGCTTGGAACAGTTCTGCAGGGCAAATATCTAGGCTAAAATGTGGGAGCTAAGAACACAGAGTATATTGATTTATTTATTATGGTTAGCAGATACTTAAGAATATTACCACAGGTCTTTGAGTAAATTTTGCTTCTAACAGAGGTTACTATCTATTCTCAATTAGACTGGGAGGAAAGTCCCTTTGAAGAGGAACCTCTACTTATTTCATTTTCTACACTGTGTCTAGCACATTTCAATTGGCATAATGTCTTCTGGGTTCCTGGATCCAGTCACCTCTCCACATCCAATCCCCACCGAGATGCTAGTTCCCTGACTACTGAGTAGCTTTAGCTTCTCTGGTGAGACTGAATGGAGTCCACCAAGCTGAGAAAAATCGGTTTTTACTTAATTCAGTTCAACTTGTTAAGAATAAATCATCTTAGTTTCCACAAAGATGGAACATGTAAGTGGACCATGTAAGTGGACCACGTAAGTGGACCACAACTTTAAGATTCATCCTTAAATTCTGAAACATTAACTTAAAATGGGCAAGAAGCAACGCTGCTTCACAGGACAAGAAATAGTCACAAATAATCCCAAATCTGGAGAACAGACCCCGCCCACCCCTGGAGGTCCCGCTTCATCCCAGTTTTCAGTCCAGCCAAGCCCCAACTGGTCACGCCCCCTACCGGCCCGGGCCTCCCACCACCCTCTCGATCCCTCCCCCAAGTCAGGCCCCGTCTTCGCCCAGCCCTTTCCCAGTCGCGCCCCGCCCAGGCCCCGCCCCCACGCCGCCCAGTTTTTTTTTTCCGCGCCCAGTTTCCTGCACACCCGGAAGCAGATCGCGCTGGGGAAAGGCCACATCGCGCTGGGGAAAGGCCACATCGCTATGCGTGTGTTTCGGTCTACCTGGATTAAACATTTGCTTCGCTTTGTCTACCTGGATTAAACGTGCACTTCGCAGTCCTCGGTTCTCCATACCCGTGACCTGGGGATCGCTACGGACCTTAAAATACCGCAACAGCCCCATTCGTCCCAAGTAAGTCGGAGAATTGCTTCCCTTTCGGTTTAAAATCTCTCTGAGGCTGTTTCTTGCTCCCTGCCTTTCTTCCTTAAGACCATGTAGACAACCCCATTCAGGTCGTTTTCCTGTTTAAAACCCTTTGCTTGGGCCCCGCGCCAAGTCTAGTCCTCGTTCGGGAGGTTCGCGCCCTCGCGACCCCCGAGCTTCTCCCTCGTCGGCCTCTGGAGGGGAGCGCCCGCCGTCCGGCTCCTGAAGGAGCCGCTTCTCCTCCCAGCTCCTGGGATTCTGCAGAACCTCCCTGTCCTGAGACATCGTCCCCCGCGCCACCTTGTGTCCTCCTCACGCCGGGTCCTTCCGCTCCCCAGGCTTCCCCTTCACAGCAACTGCTTTTCCTGACTCTCCGTTGGGGCAGGTGACCTGAGTCTGTCTTGTGACACCTAGTGTTCTTCGTTCCCAAATTTTACTCTACTGGAAAATGTGCTCTTCCGGGAGGTGGGCATCTTATTCCTCCCCTTTCCTCCCGAATGTGTGGGTGAGAGGGATCAGGAGAGGAAAAGACGGGGAACGACGGAGCAAAAGGAAAAACTGAGAAGAGAATGAGGGAGACCTGTAAATACACGGCAAAAATGGATGATAATTTAGGGCTTTGCAAAGAGCAACAGTGAAACAGAACGGTTGGAGAAAGTAGCAGGGAGAGAAAAGCAGGTAGAGAAATTTAGGAAAAAAGGGGGACCTTCAGAGAGATGAAGGGCAGCAAAATAGAATGGGGCGGCAAAGGAGGAGGCACTGCAGACAGACAGTGGGGAGAAGGTAAGAGAGTTGGAGCCGTGGCTGACAGAGCTACGTGGTGCTGGGACTGAAAGAGAGGGCAGTGGGTGACAAGCAGAGTAGAGAGTACCACAGCAGGGAGGAAGCCTAGGAAGTTGGAGGTGCTAGAGAGTGGGAACAAACGAGCTGTAACAGGGAAGAGGGAATTTAACAAGGAGAGCAGAGAGGGAGCTTAGATGGGGGAAAAGAGGCAGAGATACGTGAAGATTGGGGACAATTGGAAAGATTGAGGAGAAAGAGCTACAAGAGGTGAAGTAAGTTGTGACGCATTGGGCAGAACAGACCTAAAAGAGGGAATAAAGAAAAGGGTAAAAAACAGAAAAGGAGAAAAAAAAGACGCGCAGCATGAGAGAGGGAAACACAGAGCAGTGAAGAAAGTGGGAGAGGACTCCATCCAGATGCGTGACAGTTGATTGGATATGGATGGTGGTTGTAATATATTGATTTGTGGCTTTATACCCTGATTTAAAATATGTTTCTTTAAGTTGTACTCATGAGGATGAAAGTCACGTTTTTTCTATAAGGCTTGTGCATTTTGTGTTTATTTTTATTAAAAGATATTTGGAATTCCTGTTTAGCCAGAGGGCAGTGATTTGATCTAGTTATTTGTGGTAACTCTCTTCTTCTCAAGGATGGAGTAGAGGATAAAGGAGGGGAGAAATGGGACAAGAAATGACTGACTGTTACTACAAGATATGTCTTTGGTGTTTTTTTTGGCTTTGTTCTGTTTTGTTTTTTGGGGGGACAGGGTCTCTCTCTGTCTCCTGGGCTGGAGAGCAGTGGCATGATCTTGGGCTCATTGCAGCTTCTACCTCCTGGCCTCAAGCAGTCTTTCCACCCCAGCCTCTCAGCGCGCTGGAATTACAGATGTAAGCCACCACACCAGGCCTACGAGGTATGTCTTCGAAGGAGCATTGAAAGTCTTGGTTTTTTTTGTAATGAATTTCCTTGGAAGATGTTGGGGTCTCACTGGGGCATGTGCATCATTGAAGACATCTGTTTTAGTAGATGGTGGTGCCATATTTGGGGGTGGGGTCATTACAGGTGTGCACCACCGTGCCCGGCTAATTTTTGTATTTTTAGTACAGACGGGGTTTCACCACGTTGGCCAGGCTGGTCTTGATCTCCAGACCTCGGGTGATCCACCCACATCGGCCTCCCAAAGTGCTGGGATTACAAGCATGAGCCACCATGCTGGGCTTTTCCTGTTTATTTTTTAGAGTTGTTTTTTTTCTTCCCCCTAAACCTGGCCCATTTCAAGGTTCAGTTTGATAATGTGGCACTTAGCACAAGAGACTTCATTCTGGCTTGGTCTGGTAGTTCGGGAGGCTGGTCCGAAACAACGGCCTTCCCACAAAAAAGAACAAGATCATGTCCTTTCCCAGGACATGGATGGAGCTGGAGGCATTATCCTTAGCAAACTAACACAAGAACAGAAAACCAAACACTGCACGTTCACACTTACAAGTGGGAGGTAAATGATGAGAACACATGGACACATAGAGGGAAACAACACACACTGGGACCTACCTGAGAGTGGAGGGTGGGAGGAGGGAGATGATCAGGAAAAGTAACTTGTAGATATTAGGCTTAATACCCAGATGATGAAATAACGTGTACAACAAACCCCCATGACCCGTTTACCTATGTAACCAGCCTGAATATCCTGCACATGTACCCCTGAACTTAAAATATAAGTTAAAAAAAATACTCTGGGCTTCCATAAAAATTTGTTTAACTGGTTATTCATTTTTCCTTCTACAGAATTACTTTAAACAGTGTTTTCTGATGGTGGTGTATTGACCATTAAATGCATGCACACACACAGACCCTAAAGCCTCTAGTTTCCTTCCACTGTGCCCTAATTAAAACAAAACATACCATTAACTGTGTTTCTGCCTGTAGTGAGTACCCCTCTCTGTGCTTCATTTAAGAGCATAATACACTACAATCTTGTTCAGAGTCCCTGTCTTCACTTTTTGCCTCCAACTGTGTCTTGAATGCGTCAGATGAAACTTTCATATCCACCATTCCACTGATAACTATTTTTCAGAGTCACCAGTGACCTCCCCATTTCTAAATCCAATGTATTTCATTTCCTGCTTTACTCTTTCTTTTCCCGTCAGGAGCTATTTGATTTTCTTGTCACCTCCCTGACCATTTCACACTTCTCTCTGCTGCTGTGTCCTGACTCCAAATTGTTTCTCAATGTGGGAATGACTCATGGCTTAGTCCTTGAGCCTCTTCTTGTTTCTCTCCACACCCACTGTCTTTCCTCATCATCTCATCTTATGAATTTCAACACCACTGTATTAGGCCATTCTTGAATTGCTATAATGAAATACTGGAGACTGGGTAATTTATAAAGAAAACAGGTGTAACTGGCTCACAGTTCTGCAGGCTGCACAGGAAGCATAGCAGCATCTGCTTCTGGGGAGGCTGCAAGAAGATTCCAGTCATGGCAGGTGAAGGAGGAGCAGGCGTCTCACATGGCGGGAGCAGGAGCAAGAGAGAGTGAGGGGGGAGGCGCTACACGCTTTTAAACAACCAGATCTCGTGAGAACTCACTGTGATAAGAACAGCACCAAGAGGTGGTGAGAAACCATTCAACACAAATCCACCCTCATAATCCAACCACTTCCCACCAGGCCCCACCAGTAACACTGGGGATTACAATTCAGTGTGAGATTTGGGCCAGGGACCCAGAGCCGATCCATATCACCCACCTACCCGTGTCCATGTCCCCTGCAGACCTGTCCCCTGACCTCTAGAATTCTGTGTCCTTTTGTCCTCTTGGCTGTCTGCTCAGCCAACTAACAGATATCTCCACCAAAAGCGACTGCCTGAACTCCCCAAGTACATTCCCCTGTGCTCCTGAACCTCTCAGGTGAAGGTGATCCTATACTTCCTGGCTTCAGTTTTAGATGTCAGCATATATTTGAAATAGAGAAAACATGACATTAAAAAGAAGTGCTTTAATTCATGTGATAAAGATAAGTTGTATTTACTTAAAAAGGGTGAGGAAATACATAGTTTCTTAAATTACTGTGAGCTGTGGGAGAAGAGTGTTTGAATACCTCGTCTCTACCTAGTCTGTCCCCAGAACCTCTCTGACCTCATCTCCTCCCTGTGTCCTCCCTGCTCCCGCTGCTCCAGCCACACAGGCCTCTTTCCTGTTCCTTGGGCTGAGGTCGCTTCTGCTTTAGGGCCTCTGCCTGGGCTGTCTGGCCCCTCAGCTGCAGGTGCAAACATCCTTCTTTCTTGAGGTCTTTGTTCTGATATCACCTTCTCCATTGGGACCCTCCTCTCACCATTTAACACTCCAGCCACACCCTTGCCCCTGCCCCTGGTGCATATTATGTGTCTCTGTGTTTCTTTCTGGTCCATTGTCTTCTACTGTCTACAAACTGGTAACAATGAGGCCCCAAGGGGAGAGCAGAGCTGGGAGGATGGGGCTGTGCTAGTCTTGCCCCCTTTAAGATGTACTCAACCCTGGCTTCACATTAGCATGCTGAGGCAGTTTGCAAATACATGTTTTGTGCCCTTTTACCACAGATTCCACTTCCAATAGTTAGCATGGACTCAACCTTCATATTGTTTAAGGTACCCAAGTTGATTCTAATTTGTATCCAGTGTTGAGCGTCAAACCTCTGTGTCTTCTGTTTCTGAGAGCTGAGCTCAGCCTGTGATCCACAGGGAGGTGAGGGGGCTGTGCTCTGTATGGGGTTTGATCAGGGATGGGTCTGTGTCCTGAAGGGAAGCATAGTCCAGCCCAGCTCCCCACTGCTGCAGGGTGTCCGGGAGGGGAACAAGTTCTGAAGAAAAGGGTGAGATGGCTGGGCACGGTGGCTCAAGCCTGTAATCCCAGCACTTTGGGAGGCCGAAACGGGCGGATCACGAGGTCAGGAGATCGAGACCATCCTGGCTAACACGGTGAAACCCCGTCTCTACTAAAAAATAAAAAAAACTAGCCGGGCGAGGTGGCGGGCGCCTGTAGTCCCAGCTACTCGGGAGGCTGAGGCAGGAGAATGGCGTAAACCTGAGAGGCGGAGCTTGCAGTAAGCCGAGATCTGGCCACTGCACTCCAGCCTGGGCGACAGAGCCAGACTCCGTCTCAAAAAAAAAAAAAAGAAAAGGGTGAGAAACTCACTTGGTCATTGTGTAGGAATTTATTATTCTTGCACCCTCCTGGTGCAGTGGGCTGTCTGTCCACATGCTGAGGTCTTCCCTGTGGGCATGGTTGTGGCACAGAAAGGAATGTGTTGTTTCCAAGCATTAAACAACAGATTTTTGACTTTCAGATTTGACTTTTAAAGAATTAATTGTATTGACTGAGAGAGAAGCCCAAAAGAGGAAGAAGAAAGAAAAGGAGTCAAGAATGACTCTTCCTCAGGTAAAGTGATATGCTCAGTGGATTGTTTTGTCTCCTTCCTTTTTGAAATGCAGGGCATTGGAGTTGCAAATCTCTGAGTCTGAAGTGTTCTGCCTGACACATTTGCTCGCACTCACCCATGCCTTCCCTCAGTCCCGCTCATCTGCACTTACATTCCAGATCTCACGGTGACCCAGTGACATGAGCTTGGGAAGAGGTTGCACTGGGCATGGTCCTGGGAAGGGCTCATACCCAGACATGGATGGAAACGGGGTGTAGGTCCTGCGGTGTCAGCTTTTGGGCAGCAGAGATTGTTTACGGGCAACATCTGAATGCACTGTCAGCTCTCAGTAGACCAGGAGTAGAGATGCTGTATGTGGTAGTCACATGTTAATGTGTACAAATACCTTATAAATTCTTGAAAAGATGCCTTTAAGGAGAGATCTTTTCTACCTGGTTTTATGCCACATTTGAAGCTATAATGAATGAGTCACTCTTTCTAACTCCAGAATCTTAATGATTGGGAATGGAATGGAAAACTAGGTACCGACATCAGTGATAGAGGGTGTTTTATTCCATCATTGCTTTTAAAATATGAAATCAACCTGAACGTCAGATTAATTTAGCCATTCTCAGCATATCCATCCCACTGAGAATGCAGTGTTCCTGCAGGGACTCTTACCAGCAGTTGTTTTTTGTAAAATGGTTACAATTTTGCTCAGATGTAAGAGCCAAACTTTTTTGATGTCAGAGAAGATGCAGCCAAATTCTGTCATTCCACCAATTATTATTAAATATTACGTTTCTTTTATTTTGAACATCACATGATATATATATTTGTTTTGTGGTAAAAGTCCAAACAGAGATGCAATTTAGGCATTAAGAAGAGGGGATACAACATAAGCGTGATAGGGAGTAACATTTTATTATATGTGAAATTTATGCTAAATGAGATTTTAGGTGTTCTTGCCACAAAAGCAAAAAAAAAAAAAAAAAGGTAACTGAGATATGGATATGTTAATTTGTTAAACTGTAGTGAGTTTTTTACTATCCATATCTTGCTATATTGTGTACCTTAAATATACACAATAAAATTTGTAAGCAAACAAGTAAAAAACAGGGCATCAAGAAAAACACTTTAGTTTTATAGTAAAAACAACTTACAACCTGAAAAAAGGACATCAAGGCATATATATTTAAAAACTTTACAGAATGTGAAAGAGCTTCCAGAATGCGGTAAAAGAAAATTGAGCATAAAATGAAAATTATTTTATTTTGATTTCCACAAAATAATGAAATGTCCTCACAGTCCAAGGAATTGGAAAATGGACATATAAAGAATTTTTATTTTTTCTAGATCCTCAAAGAGAAAAAACTACATAGTAGTACTTGTTTTTTTTTAAAGAGTGGGAAATGTCATGTGTCATTGGTGGGAGGGGGCATCTTTGAACTTGGGATAGTGGGGAATCTTGCCAGATTCACCAAAATAGGAAATGTACCATCCTAGAAGAGGCGAATCACTCTTTCAATTACGCACCCGGAGGAACCCAGGTTCCTTTTCCCTGTCACATCCTCCACCATGTGTCATGTTTCATTGAGGAGCTACAGTGGTAAGCTCTGTGGCAAGAGTCAGTGAGAGGTGTCAAGATGCATTTACACGTCATTGTGGGTTTTTAGAAAACGATTCTTCAGTGAATGTTCTGCTGTATTTTGCAAGTTTTGGAAATGTACATGTTTTTTATGTTAATAAACATTAATAGCTTGTTTTGCATCCTCTTTGGAGCAATTTCTTAATGAAGACATGGATCTTCTACAATTTTTCACTTTTGCAAAAAATATCACCGTGGCTGCATCTGTGCATGCTGTCTTCACCACAAGTGTGTGAGGGTTACTTCACTGGCAGTTCAAAGAATGTTTGCTGCTTTTAGGACGGTATACCACAAAAGCAAAAATAATTATATGTTTGTTTTATCTTTTGGAAGCCCTGGCTCACGGTGTGATTATAAAATATGAAGTTTCTTGAAAATCTAATGCTTCTTGCTTACATTTTCTTTGCATGAATTTTTTTGATTGAATCTTTAGTTTGAATTTTTGTGTATATCTTTTTGTAGATTATATTTGATTGCTTTTAAAGTTTCAGATTATAAATGTCATAATAGGTTCATATGAAGATTGGCAAACCTCTCCATTTCTTTCCAAAATTTTGTTGGTTCTTTTTTTTATACAACAGTCACATTTTATTAAATTCCCACATACTTCGTTTGTGTTTGAATGACTGTGAATTTTTACAGTTGCAGGTCTTGTCACCACATCTTCCAATAAGAATTGAGTTTGTCAGTCAGTGATTATATCTTTATTATGTCTTTCAGTAAAGCTTGTTTGTTTGCTTACAGTTCAGTAATGTTAGGTATATTCACATTATTTATTGGGCTTTCAGAATATATATGTTCTTGGTGCTTGATGGTTTCCCCTTATGCCCTCTTTATTTTTCTTTATTTTTTATAGTTTTTGTTTTCCTCCCAGTCAAAATCCCCTTTGAGTTCACTTATTCCTTCTTCTGCCTGATTAAGTCTGCTATTGAACTCATCTGGTGAATTTTTCAACTCAGTTATTGTATTTTTAGGTATACTTTTTTTCTTTCTTTTGTTTTGTTTTCAGGCGGGGTTTCACTCTTTCCCAGGCTGGACTGCAGTGGCACAATCTTGGATCACTGCATTCTCTGCCTCCCGAGTTCAAATGAACCTCCCACTTCAGCCTCCTGAGTAACTGGGACTACAGGCGTGCACCATCACACCTGCCTAATTTTTGTACTCTTAGTAGAGATCGGATTTTGCCATGTTGCCCTGGCTGGTCTCGGAACTCCTGGGCTTAAGCAATTCTCCCACTTTGGCCTCCCAGAGTGTTGGGATTACAGGCATGAGCCACGGTGCCCAGCCTCAGAATTTCTTTTTGATTCTTTTTTATAGCTTCTATCTGTGTTGATACTCTTCTTTGCATGCGTAGTTCATATAGTTTTCCTGATTTCGTGAGCTTGTCTGTGTGTGCTGTCTTTTAACTCATTGAGCATTCTTGTGGCTATTATTTCAAATTCTTTGGTAATTCACATACAGTCAGCCCTCTGCATTCATGGCTCATGTAGCCACAGATGGAACCAACTATGAACTACAAATAGCCAGAAAAAAATGGATGGTTTCAAGGAACATGTATAGTCCTTTTTTTCTTGTCATTATTTCCTAAACAATGCAGTATAACAACTACTTACGTAGCATTTACGTTGTATTAGCTATTATGAGTAGAGATGATTTAAATCATATGGGAAGATATAGGTAGGTTATATGCAAGTATTATGCCTTTTTATATAAGGGACTTCAGTATCCATAGATTTGATCTCCTTAGGGAATCTTGGAACCAATCCCCTGCATATACTGAGAGTGGTCCCCATTTCTTTTTAGTTCTTCAAAGCCATGATGTAAATCACCATTTCTTTAGTGTAAGTTTATAGAGACTTAATTGGTTTCTTTTTACAGACCGTATTTTCCTGTTTCTTTGTAAGCTTTCTTATCTTCTTTTGGCACTTCAGTATTTGAAAAATCATCTACCTCCCCAGTTTTCGGTGGTTGCTTTGTTCAGGGAGGACACTGCAGTCAACTCAACTACATTCTGGAGACCTTCCACACCTTTTCTGGCTGGAGATTTTGTCCTCTCTGGGCTTTTGCTTGTCATCTCTTCATTGAAAATGTTTGCTGGTTTCTACCCAGAAGCTCCCCTGTTGTCTCTCTTTGGTATTGCAGACTTGGGTGCTACAGTAAGCTGTAGTACTAGATCTTCACTTAGTGTTTGTCTATGTTACTGCACACACTGGTTTATGTAAATCATCCTTTTTCTCAGTGGCCCCTAACCTTTCACCTTGTTCTTGTCAGTGCTTATATTCAGTAAGAGAGAAACCAGCCCATCAGTTGGTCATCTGAAAAGTCAGGATGTTGGACAGATATTCTGCTCCTTTCCATCCCCTAGACGATCTTGGGAGTTGTGGGTTTCTTTTCTGTTACCCCTGCATGGCAGGGGCTGCGTCTCTGTCAAGTGGATGCTTCAGATTTTCCTTTAGAGCTTCTATACTGTTTGCTTTATGTTGGCCTGAGGTGTAGAAACCTCGTAACTGTTTTGTGGATTTATCCCCGAGGCAATTAGTCTATGAATTGTTGTTAAAATCATTTCACTGTGGTGACTGGAGAGTTTGGGGATTCTTGTTCCTTTATCTTGCTGACATCACTCAGTATAGTTTTATAATTTGTTCACAGAATTCTGAAAATGTTTTGTACTTAAGTGCCATGGTATATATGCTAATGAAAATTTAGAAGTATGTGTGTGTGGTGTTGTTGTTGTTTTTAAATTAGTGTACTAAAGTAGGAAGATTTTTTCAGTATATTATTAGTTTGTATACTTAAATATTCTTTTTCTGGGTTGCAATCATGTTATCTCTCTTTTTTTTTTTTTTTCTGAGATGGAATTTCGCTCTTGTTGCCCCGGAGCGAATCATGAGATTTCCCAGCCAGCAGAATCATGAGAAATACATTTCTATTGCTCATAAATTAGTCTCTTTTATTTTGTTATAGCTGCACAGAAAGACTAGGACATATTCTGTTATATAACGGTTGAATTCTGTTGATTCAACTCTAATTTTTAGACATCTGGGTTCAGGTGCTTGTTGCGCTGTTGGCAGGTTGTTGACCTAGGCGAGTTTCTTAGCCTGTCTGTGACACAGTTGTCTTCTAGTAAGATGGGAAGAAATATTTCTGTCCTAGGTTATTATGTCATCATTTGAGTTAGAACATGTAAAGCCTTTGGAGTAATGCCCGGTACATGAGGAGTGTTCCAAAACTTTAGTCCTTGCTGTTGCTCTTGTCATCAGTTTTTAGTTTCTGACCTTTCTTTAAAGCCACTAAGAACACTGTCATCTCTGAAGACACCACTTGTATTCGAGCTCATCTGGACACCTTACTTGGTGTAACAAATATAGTATCTAAAACTTTCATAGCGATAACCATGTGTTTATTTCTTATTTTGTCCGCAGAAGTGAGAAATGTGCACTGATTTAGATAAAATCTTAATCTCCTATTGAATTTTATAAAACCCCAAATTAGGGACACATAATTATCTCACAGATGCTTTTAATGGATATGTCAAAACACACACTTCAATCAAATTGATGTGACAGTTCTTTCCTCTTCTCATTTTATGTAAAGATAAGAGCTCACCCATTGCTCATATTGAAATGTGTTTTCATTTCAGGGATCTTTGACATTCAGGGATGTGGCCATAGAATTCTCTCAGGAGGAGTGGAAATGCCTGGATCCTATTCAGAAAGCTTTATACAGGGACGTGATGTTGGAGAACTACAGGAACCTGGGCTTCCTGGGTGAGGATAATTTTCCTCTAGAAGTTAGGATCTTCCCTTGTGCATTTTTGTACTTTCCTTATTGTGTTTCTTGGGAGGCCCTACATTATTTGACAGAGATTGAAGCCTTGTTGATTCACAAATAAAAAGCCTCATGGATGTTCTGCTTCCTTCTTTGTATGTTAGTGGTGGTTCCAGAGCTGAGGTACATATAAAACCTTATGGCAGAGTTAATATATCCAATTCCCTGTTCCTGTTTTCTATCCCTGTGGTTTTTTTTTTTTTTTTTTTTTTTTTGACACAGTCTCAGTCTGTCACCCAGGCTGGAATGCAGTGGTGTGATCTCGGCACACTGCAACCTTAGCTTCTTGGGATCAAGCCATCCTCCTACCTTAGCCTCCCAAGTAGCTGGGACTATGGGTGTGCAACACCATGCCCAGGTAGAGACAGGGTTTCACTCTGTTGCCCAGGCTGATCTTGAACTCCTGTGCTGAAGCCATCTTCCTGTCTTGGCCTCCGAAAGTGCTGAGATTACAAGCTTGAGCCAGTACGCTTGGCCTATCCCTGTGTTTTTGATTTAGTATTTCTTGGGGGAGAGGTAGATATCTGCATCTTTTTTTTTTTGAGACGGAGTCTTGCTCTGTGCCCCAGGCGGGAGTGCAGTAGCGCGATCTCGGCTCACTGCAAGCTCCGCCTCCTGGGTTCACGCCATTCTCCTGCCTCAGCCTCCCGAGTAGCTGGGACTACAGGCGCCCGCCACCTCGCCCGGCTAATTTTCTTGTATTTTTAGTAGAGACGGGGTTTCACCGTGTTAGCCAGGATGGTCTCGATTTCCTGACCTCGTGATCCGCCCGTCTCGGCCTCCCAAAGTGCTGGGATTACAGGCTTGAGCCACCGCGCCCGGCCGATATCTGCATCTTACAGTGTTCCCTAAACATTCAGAAGGAGGCAATCAATGGATGAGTTTGTGAAATATTTTGTAGATTCAACTGCAGTGTTTTCTCTTCTACCTAAACGTTAGGCTGGGTTCTGGAAAAACCATGGGACATCTTCTTTCTTTTTTTTATAAGCAGGACTCTGTCTTCCTGACCTGAATATTATCTCCATGTTGGAGCAAGGGAAAGAGCCCTGGACTGTGGTGAGCCAAGTGAAAATAGCAAGGAACCCAAATTGGGGAGAATGCATGAAAGGCGTGATCACAGGTAAGAGCTCAGATGGGCACAATGGAAGCAGCACGATGAAATTGTGTGTGTAAAACTCTGCAAGTGGGAGAGTTCTGTGGGGAAACAAATTTGATTTTTTGTGAGCTCCGAAATTTTTCTTCTTTCCTGCTTATCACTTTGCTCTCCAGACACGTATAAGTTTACCCTTTCACTCTCCACGGGTTGCTGCAGCTCAAACAGTAAAGGACAAGACTGTTATGATGAACCACAGTGTCATCTGAATTCTCTGAACTCTGATGCTTTGACTCTGTGGCGTGGGAAGGGCCTTTTCAAAGAAGTCTCTTTCCCGTGTGGTCTCTCCTCCTGTTCTTGATTCCATCTGATCCTCAGTTCTCTGATCCATATAGATTAGAGCTCCATAGTCCTGATGCCTGGAGCTTTTCTGATTCCCCCTCATTTCGTATACTTGAAAGTGCTGGTCAGGAGATGGGGAAATATTGGTTGCCCTTCCTTTGAAGCTGGGGTCCTAGAACTGCACGGGACTGTCTTCAGCCCTCTGCCTGTTCAGGTCCCTCAGCCATTTTCTTAGTTCTTCTTTGGACACTCTTCTTGGGTTTGTGACAGGGGAATGAGTTGGGTCTCCTGAGATTGTTACATAGAAGAATTGTAAAGACAGTTGACACAAAGATCCTCTCTTTATTCTTAGTCCTACACGGGGAGCATATCTCTGTCTTCACACTCTTAGTTTGGGATCTGTGGACAGAGCAGATTCTCATTTCAAGATCCCTCACAATCCAACTCCTGTGTTTTTCTCTGTCTTGTTTATGCCTTGGCTATTTCTGATCTTACATTCTCTTTTATGTTTGTGTGATTTTTTTGCCTCTGAGACTTGCTTTGAATAAACACATTTCTAGGGTCTGACATTTTATCCTTTTTTCCTGCTGTGATAACCCATCTTGGGGTTATGAATATCTCGTGGACTATCTTATGGAGTGGGTTTACTGGGTAAGAGAAAATTTTTGAAGGAGAGCACTTTGAGTAATGAGTTTTAACATCATCTTGCTACATACAGATGTGACTATTAAAGTCAGAGTAGAATGATCAGCATTTATCATGATATTCAGATAGCATCACAAGAGCCTGGTTTCTGAGAAATGTCACAAACGTCTCTCTCAAGGGTACTGTGGTAATGTTGATCTCATATACTAATGGTCCTCTTTTTTGAGCTAGCAGTGAATGGTGTAGGAATTTCTCCCATGCCGGGCGCGGTGGCTCATGCCTGTAATCTCAGCACTTTGGGAGGCTGAGGCGGGTGGATCACCTGAGGTTAGGAGTTCTAGACCAGCTGGCCAACTTGGTGAAACCCCGTCTCTACTAAAAATACAAAAATTAGCCGGGCATGGTGGCAGGTGCCTGTAATCCCAGGTACTCGGGGGGCTGAGGCAGGAGAATCACTTGAACCCGGGAGGTGGAAGTTGTGAGCCGAGATTGCGCCATCGCAGTCCAGCCTGGGGGACAAGCTGGGGGACAAGAACAAGACTTCATCTCAAAAAAAAAAAAAGAGGAATTTCTCTCAGGGAGAACATTGTCCAAGTTCACAGCTTCATCTCTGCAGGGTGGTTGCCTGAACCACTGCTCATGCCACACTTTTCTTCCCCAGTATTTTTGTTTACAGTGAGTATGACTTTGATCTTGAGGAAGCTAATGAAGTTGAATGAGGCTTATTTTTTTTAAGTCCAGAAAGTTCGTTTTAAGCAGCCGTTGCTTTCATCTGATGCATTTTCATGTATTATAAATGAACTTTGTTTTTATTTATGTAACGATCAGTTCCATAGTTTTGAGGATACTCAGTTTTGTTTGTTTTATGTTTCTATGTGTGGTAGTGTTGTGTTGGGGAATGCATATTGTTTTATGTATTTTACAAGATTTCCTTCTCTAGTACACATGGTATAGCTCAGCAGCAGTTTCCCTAAAACTTGTACAAACTCCATAGTGTTGTGTTGACAGTTTCAGTTATTGCTTTTACTTCTGTTTCACCTGACTTCATTCCTACTATGAAAGTATATGTTTGTCAATTAAATTGATTACAGTTTTTAAGTTGGAAATTTTTAATATCTTGAACATAATTTTTTAAGTTACTGTCTTAATTGTGGAAATACCATTTAATAGATTGATCATTCTTTGTTATATGACATACATTGCTTTTCTGTAATAAGTTTCAGTTTCCTAAATATAGCTTGCTGAGTGTTCAAATTGCACTGTTTTTTTCTTTATTGGAACAAATGCTATATTATAATGACTATTCTGTCTACATTCATGTCCATCATGTTATAGTGAATCATTATTTAAAAATCTAACTTTATTTACACTTAGCCCATTTCTTACACTTCAGGGACTTCTCTACTATTTATAAAACCTACATATTTTTTTCATGATGCTCAAGCAATGAAGAATAAATTCTCTTAAAAAACTTGTATTGGGCCAGGAGCAGTGGCTCATGCCTGTAATCCCAGCACTTTGGGAGGCCGAGGCGGGTGGATCATTTTGAGATCTGAGGTCAGGAATTCAAGACCAGCCTGACCAACATGGTGAATCCGTTTCTACTAAAAATACAAAAAAATTAGCCAGGCATGGTGGTACATGCATGTAATCTCAGCTAGTTGGGAGGCTGAGACAAGAGAATTTCTTGAACCCAGGAGACAGACGTTGCATTGAGCTGAGATCGCGCCACTGTACTTTAGCCTGGGTGACAGAGCAAGACTCTGTCCCTAAAAAAAATAAGAAAAAAAAAAACAAACTTGTATTTTGTCCAGAAAAGTTTTTCCTATATTTTCTTCTAGAATTTTTGTAGCTTGAAGTCTTACATGTAAGTCTTTATTCATCTTGAATTAATTTTTGTATATGATGAGAGATAGGAGTCCAGTTTCATTCTTCTGTTTATGGCTAGCCAGTTTTTCTAGCATCCTTGTTGAATAGAATGGCTTTTCCCAATTGTTTTTGTTGACTATAAAAGATCAGTTGGTTGTAGGTGTGTGGCTGTATTTCTGGGTTTCCTATTCTGTTTCATCGGATAGCTTTCTATTTTAATGTTAGCATTTATATCTATAGATTTTCTATCTTAGCACTTTTTTCTGCATTCACAAGTCTTGGTATGTTCTATTTTCATTTTCCTTTGTTTGGAGATTTTTTAAAATTTCCCTTGTGATTTCTAATTTGACATATTGGCTGTTTAAGAGTATGGTTTTATTTGTTTTTGTTTTTGTTTTTTGACATGGAGTTACGCTCTTATTGTCCAGGCTGTAGTGTAGCGGTGCAATCTCAGCTCACTGTAACACTCCACTTCCTGGGTTCAAGCGATTCTCCTGCCTCAGCCTCCCGAGTAGCTGGGATTACAGGCATCTGCCACCACGCCTGGGTTTCACTATGTTGGCCAGGCTGATCTTGAACTCCTGACCTCAAGTGATCCACCTGCCTCAGCCACCCAAATTGCTGGGATTATAGATGTGAGCCACCACACTGTCCTAAGAGTATGTTGTTTCCACATATTTGTTGATAATCTAATTTTCTTTCTTGACCTCTAGTTTTACTTTATTATGATGGGATAAGTTATGCTTTATGATTTTAGTCTTTAAAAAGTTTAAAAAATTTTTTCTTTTCCAATATTTTTTTTTTGAAAAATGTTTCATGTGCAGTTCTGAAAAATTTGTATTGTGCTATTTTTGGATGTTGTGTTATGCATATATAGGTTAGGTTCAATTTGATGTATAGTTTAGGTTCTCTAGTTCCTTATTTTTCTTCTGTCTGATTGTCCTATTTATAAGTAAAAATAGGCCATTGAAGTCTCTTATTATTACTGTGAAACTACTTCTCCCTTTAGTTGTATTAATTTTGCTTCACATATTGAGGATTGCTATATTAGGCACATATTATTATATCTTCCTAGTTAATTAACCTTTTAATCATTATATAATGCCCTTCTTTGTCTCCAGTTTTGACATAAAGTCTATTTCGACTGACATCAGTTTAGCCACTGCTGATGTCTTTCTGTTACCGTTTATAGGAGATATCTTTTTTCATCGCTTCAATTCAGCCTACCTATATCCTTTGAATTAAAATGAGTATTTTCTGGATAGTGTGTAGCTGAAGCCAGTTTTAGAAATTCATTCAGCCAGTCTCTGTCTTCAGACTGTGGAGTATAAACCACTTACATTTAATGTAATTACTGATAGAAAAGGACTTATATTGCCATTTTGTTAAGTGTTTTCTGTGTCTCTTTTAGATTTTTTTTGTTCTGTTTCTCTTACTGCCTTCGTTTTTGTATAGTTGATTTTTTTTTTCCTGAAATGGTTCTACTTCCATTGTGTGTGTCTTCTATACAGTCTTTGTGGTTACCGTTGCAATTACAGAAAACACTTTTGATTTATAACATCCTATTTTAAACTAATAACAGCTTAACTTCAATTACATACAAAAATGACTTTTTTACAAATCTGCTTCCATGTTGTGTTTTGTCTTTTTTTTTTTTCCTTTTTGTGGAGAACGGGGTCTCGCTATATTACCCAGACAGGTCTCGAACTCCTGGGCTCAAGCTATCCTCCCGCCTCTGCCTCCCTGAGAGCTGGGATTACAGGCGTGAGCCACCACGCCCGGCCTCCATGTTGTGTTTTGATATCCCAGTTACTTTCATTGTATATACTGTGTCTCCATTGACATATATTTCAACCTTGACAAGAGTCTCCTGCTTTCTTTGTTTTCTCAAATCTTCGCCTGTTGTGCTAGGGTCCTCATTCTGCACCCCATGTCTCCTTAACATTCTTGTACTATCAATAAAGTTTTATGGTATCATTATGTGTGTGTACGAAATGAATTCATCCATCTCCTCTTCATGGCAGTTTTCAAGTTTTTTCTTAAGGACTGAATTATAAGAACAGTCTTTCACATATCTCCTGATAGGTAGGGTTGTTGAGCATATACCTGGAAATAGAACTTATGGGACATTCAATTTGATAAATTTCATAGCAAATATTATAGAGACATAATCTGTTTTCTTCCCATATCATCATACCACCTCCTTTTTAATTGTCTTCCCTTGTTGTCCTGCACCCATAGTGTATTTCTCACATTTAAGTATTAGTACAATGCTACTTCTACATTAGTTTCTCTTTTCTTCCAAAGCCAGGATTTTAGCTGTTTCTTGTGCAGTTACATTCCCACAGCTCTGCAAGCACACAAACCTTGCTGCCCCATGCTTATTACTCCTTGCTCTCCCGGCTTGCCCTTTCTCCTCTTGGGCCTTTCCTAACATATTACTTTGGTCCAGATGGACTACCCAGTTACTGCCTAGCATATTAATTTTATACTTCCATTATTACAGAACTCCCTCACCTCCTATGCTACTCTCATTCTGTAAGGGGTCACCCCTACTCATTTACTTGACCATTGTCTGATAACACTGCCTAAATCAATATGATGACTCAGAAACCGTGCGTTATTCATGACGGATGGCTGAATAATGCTTTTGGCAACACAGCATTGCAGGGAGCCGAAGGTCCATGGGACGTGACCAACTCAGCATTCCACTGGAGGCTATATGATCAAACAGCAAATTGTTTATCATGAATGCAGGATGTGGGCAAACTCATGACTGCTTCTGGTGACAGAAGTTTTGCTGGAGGCAATCACTCCCTGGCGCCAAGGTTATCTACTGCGATATCTAGAGCCTGTTGTTTGAGGAATGCAGTCTTGCAAACCTACTTTGGGCTGAGCAGCTGACCCCTTCTTCCACCCTCCTTCTCACTATCTCTCTTGCTTAGTAAATACAGAGGGCTGTGTAAAGCTCAGGGCCCTTGTCCACTAGAGGCAAGGTGCCCCCTGACCCCTTCTTCCAAATATACTCTTTTGTCTCTTGTGTTTTATTCCCGCATTCGCCCTCTTTGTTCAGTTCCCCTAGGTCCATGTGGGTTACATAGTGGCACCCCGAACAGCGACAGAATCAGGTGCTCTACACAAAATGGCTCTTGAATTATTTCTACACTCTTGATATTTGGGTTGACCTGTTATCTGCACTGCTTGTTTGGGAGTTGTTTTTAAAAACATGTTTGATCTTGCAAACCCAGGTTCTTATATCTTACTTTCTTTGTAAATTGGGTATAGATACATAAATGCTGTGGGCATATTTAGTGTGCTTGTTTGTTAAATAATGATAACTTACCTAAAGACTTTTTAAACAAGTTAATGCTGTTAGCTAGCTTAGAATATTGCATGTTTTATAGTAAAGACTCACAAATTTGTTTAATAACGTGTATCAACATTGTTTCATGTTTATAATGAGATAGCATATTGGCTTTACCTTAGTCAGCATGGCTAGCTATATCAGATACCATAGATAGGATGGTTTAAACAGCAGAAATTGACTTTTCACAGATCTAGGTGGTGCAAAGTTCAACATGTCAGAGCCAGCCACTTTGGTTCTTGGTGTGGGCTTTTTTCTGGTGTGCCATGGCTGACTATTTTTGTGTTCTCATGTGGCAGAAAGATTGCCATGCAAAAAACAGAAGCTTTTTCACGTCTCTTCTAATTGCATTCCTGAAGTTCTATGCACCATCCTGACATAATTGCCACCCAAAGACCACACTTCCAAATACTATATCACACTGAGGATGGGACCTTAACAGGAATTTTGGCAGACATAAGTCTTTATATCAGAACAGTCTACATTGTATCTGTAAATTTTCATTTTGCAGTTTGTTCCAAACAGTGTTGTCTTTTATCTTAGTTCATACATTTTCCAAGTGCAATCTCTGTATCATACATGTTTTGTGGCCAATGAACTGGATAATTAAAGACAATGAACAGGACTGGGTACGGTGGCTCATGCCTGTAATCCCAGCACTTTGGGAGGCAGAGGTGGGCAGATTGTTTGAGCTCAGGAGTTCCAGACCAGCCTGGGCAACATGGCAAAACCTCATTTCTACCAAAACTACAAAAAAATTAACTGGGCATGATGGCGTGCATCTATCTGTGGTCCCAGCTCTCAGGAGGCTGAGGTGGGAGGATCGCTTGAGCCTATGAGCTGGAGGTTGCAGTGAGGTAAGATCATGCCACTGCACTCCAGCCTGGGTGAGAGAGTGAGACTCCATCTCAACCAAAAGCAAAAAAAGACAATGAATACATAGGGAGTTGCTCTATTGTTTGTTACATAGTTGTAGGCACGAAATCATAACTGGAATTTCTGATTTCCTTTCCCAAGTTTTATTCTTTTTTTGAGGCAGTCTCTCTCTGTTGCCCAGGCTGAAGTGCAGTGTCGCAATCTTGACTGACTGCATCCTCCCCCTTATGGGTTTATGTGACTCTCGTGCTTCAGCCTCCTGAGTACTTGGGATTACAGGCATGCACCATCACAGTTGGCTAATTTTTTATATTTTTAGTAGAGACGAAGTTTCACCATGTTGGCCTGGCTAGTCTCGAACTCTTGGCCTCAAGTGATCTGCCCGCCTTGGCCTCTCAAAATGCTGGGATTATAGGTCTGAGTCACCATACCTGTTCCTTTTTTTTTTTTTTTGAGATGGAGTCTTGGTCTGTCGCCCAGACTGGAGTACAGTGGCGAAATCTCAGCTCACTGCAACCTCTGCCTCCTAGGTTCCAACGATTCTCCTGCCTCAGGCTCCCGAGTAGCTGGGATTATAGGCATGTGCCACTATGCCCAGCTGATTTTTACTTTTAATATAGACAGGATTTCACCATGTTGGCCAAGCTAGTCTCGAACTCCTGACCTTGTGATCCACCTGCCTCGGCCTCCCAAAATACTGGGATTACAGGCGTGAGCCACTGCGCCTGGCTGACCTGTCCGCAATTTTCAATCTTTATTATGTTATGTATTTACCTTTCTCTCATCCAAGTACTAACCAGTTCTGACACTGCTTAGCTTCTGAGATCAGATAGATCAGATGCATTCACGGTGGTATGGCCATAGACATATTTACCTTTCTTTTATCTTTAAAAGCCAGTGATCTCAATGTATTTTCTAGTTATCATATGCTGCCTCTAGAAGTTCTTGCTTATTATTAATGGAGAATTGTTTAGAATTTCATACTATAAATTTGTATTTTGTGGTTGTTCATTATTTACCTGCTGGTTTTATCACAGGCTATTAGAATGTTTTATTTATTAATTTATATTATGATTATTAATTAGTTAATATTTACCATTACAGTATATCTTGCTGTGGTTTTAGCATTTATTTGTATGAAATAAATATATGTAACTTTTTTTCTCTTCTATTATGAGGGAGCCATATGTTTACTGCCAGTTGGTGTGTCATTTGGGGTCAGTGGTTGCAAAAGACTTGTTTTGGTGCTCATTTATGTTTGCACAACACAAGTCTTTTGGTCAAAGGATGTTTGAAACTAGGCTTTCCTAAAATTGATTTGAATTACATGTGATCATCTTTACTACAGAATTCTATTCATTTTGCATTTCTACAAATAGAAGATCATGGTAGAAAAGTTTCACAACTTGCTAGCATATTATGTTTAGTGTAGTGTGTTTTCAGTATAAAATAATATTTACCAATAATAGTTATTTTAAAACTCCATGTTCATTATATTTTGCAGGTATCTCTCCTAAACGTGTGATCAAGGAATTACCACCAATACAGAACAATAACACAGGAGAAAAATTCCAAACAGTGATGTTGGAAGGGCATGAAAGCTATGACATTGAAAATGTTTACTTCAGAGAAATCCACAAAAATCTACAGGACCTTGACTTTCAATGGAAAGATGGTGAAATAAATTGTAAAGAAGCACCGATGACCCATAAAAACAATCTTACTGGTACAAGAGTTCGACATAGTCAAGGGGACGTAGAAAACAAGCATATTGAAAATCAGCTTATATTAAGCTTTCAGTCCAGTCTGGCTGAATTGCAGAAATTTCAAACTGCAGGGAAAATTTATGAATGTAATCAAATTGAGAAGACAGTTAATAATGGTTTTTTAGCTTCACCACTTCAAAGAATTTTTCCTAGTGTCCAAACCAACATTTCTAGGAAATATGGGAATGATTTTTTGCAACTTTCGTTACCTACACAAGATGAGGAAACATACATTGGGGAAAAACCTTACATAGGTAATGAGTGTGGCAAAGCCTTTAGAGTGTCTCCAAGTCTTATTAATCATCAGATGATACATACAACAGAGAAACCTTACAGATGCAATGAGTCTGGCAAAGCCTTTAATCGGGGCTCACTACTAACAATACATCAGACAGTCCATAGAAGAGGGAAACCATATCAATGTGATGTATGTGGCAAGATCTTCAGACAAAATTCAGATCTTATAAATCACCAGAGAAGTCACACTGGAGACAAGCCCTACATATGTAATGAATGTGGCAAGTCCTTTAGTAAAAGTTCTCACCTTGCAGTTCATCAAAGAATTCATACTGGAGAGAAACCTTACAAATGTAATCGATGTGGGAAGTGCTTTAGTCAAAGTTCCTCTCTTGCAACTCATCAGACAGTTCATACTGGAGACAAACCCTACAAATGTAATGAGTGTGGCAAAACCTTTAAACGGAACTCAAGCCTCACTGCACATCAGATAATCCATGCAGGAAAGAAACCATATACATGTGATGTATGTGGCAAGGTCTTTTATCAAAATTCACAACTTGTAAGGCACCAGATAATTCATACTGGAGAGACACCTTACAAATGTAATGAATGTGGCAAGGTCTTCTTTCAACGTTCACGTCTTGCAGGGCATCGGAGAATTCATACTGGAGAGAAACCTTACAAATGTAATGAATGTGGCAAGGTCTTCAGTCAACATTCACATCTTGCAGTGCATCGGAGAGTTCATACTGGAGAGAAACCTTACAAATGTAATGAATGTGGCAAAGCCTTTAATTGGGGCTCATTACTCACTATACATCAGAGAATTCATACCGGAGAGAAACCTTACAAATGTAATGTGTGTGGCAAGGTCTTTAATTATGGTGGATACCTTTCAGTTCATATGAGATGTCATACTGGAGAGAAACCGCTCCATTGTAATAAATGTGGCATGGTCTTCACTTACTATTCATGCCTAGCACGTCATCAGAGAATGCATACTGGAGAGAAACCTTACAAATGTAATGTGTGTGGCAAGGTCTTCATTGACAGTGGAAACCTCTCAATACATAGGCGAAGTCATACTGGAGAGAAACCTTTCCAGTGTAACGAATGTGGCAAGGTCTTCAGTTACTACTCATGCCTAGCGCGTCATCGGAAAATTCATACTGGAGAGAAACCTTACAAATGTAATGATTGTGGCAAAGCCTATACTCAGCGTTCAAGCCTCACTAAACATCTGGTAATTCATACTGGAGGGAACCCTTACCACTGTAATGAGTTTGGCGAGGCTTTTATCCAAAGTTCAAAACTTGCAAGATATCACAGAAATCCTACTGGGGAGAAACCACACAAATGTAGTGAATGTGGTAGAACTTTTAGTCATAAAACAAGTCTGGTGTACCATCAGAGAAGACATACTGGAGAGATGCCATACAAATGTATTGAATGTGGGAAAGTCTTTAATTCCACTACAACCCTTGCAAGGCATCGGAGAATTCATACTGGAGAGAAACCTTACAAATGTAATGAATGTGGCAAGGTCTTCCGTTACCGCTCAGGCCTCGCACGTCATTGGAGTATTCATACTGGAGAGAAACCTTACAAATGTAATGAGTGTGGCAAAGCCTTTAGAGTACGTTCAATTCTGCTTAATCATCAGATGATGCATACTGGAGAGAAACCTTATAAATGTAATGAATGTGGTAAAGCTTTTATCGAAAGGTCAAACTTGGTTTACCATCAGAGAAACCATACTGGAGAGAAGCCATACAAATGTATTGAATGTGGCAAGGCATTTGGGCGGCGGTCTTGCCTCACTAAACACCAACGAATTCATTCTGGTGAAAAACCTTATAAATGTAATGAGTGTGGCAAATCTTACATTAGTCGCTCAGGCCTTACTAAACATCAGATAAAACATACTGGAGAGAACCTTACAACTAAACTCAATGTGGAAAGGCCTTTAGACGTTGTCCTAACTTCTGGGATCCCCAAATAATTTATACTTAACTGATACAATTTGTCTATTTGTCCCTTCCCTTTGAAGTCTCATGTGGAATTGTAATCTCCAGCATTGGAGGTGGGGCCTAGTGGGAGGCAACTGGATGATGGGGGTGGATTTCTCAAGAAAGGTTTAGTACCATCCCCTTGTTGCTGTCCTTGTGATAGTGAGTTCTCATGAGGTCTGGCTGTTTAAAAGTGAATGGCAGGGCCAGGTGCCTGTCTCATGCCTGTAATCCCAGCACTTTGGGAGACTGTGGACGGATCACTTGAGGTCAGGCATTTGAGAGCAGCCTGGCCAACATGGTGAAACCCTGTCTCTGCCAAAAATACAAAAAATTAGCTGGGCTTCATGGTGGGTACTTGTAGTACCAGCTACTCGAGAAGATGAGTCAGGAGAATTGCTTGAACCCTGGAGGTGGAGGCTGCAGTGACCCAAGATCGTGCCACTGCACTCCTGCCTGAGCAACAGAGTGAGACTCCGTCACATACACACACACACGCACGCATGCATGAAAGTGAATAGCACCTCCCTCTTGTTTGTTCCTCTTCTGGCTATGTGACATGCCCACTCCCCCTTCACCTTCCACCATCATTTTAACCTTCCCGAGGCTTCCCCAGAGGGTGAGCAGATGGCAGCACCATGTTTCCTGTAAAGCCTACAAAATTGTGAGCCAATTAAACCTCTTTATACATTAGCCTCAGGTATTTCTTTCTAGCAATGCAATTATGGCCTAATATATTTACACATGAAGTGAAGAATATAGCTAAGTTTCAAGCAAGTGTTCACTAGGCATAAGAATATACATCCTGGAGAGGAATCACAGAAGTGTAATATGTGTGGCAAGAATACTAAAGGTCAAAACTTGTGGATCTATAAATAACTCAAAGTGCAGATATGCTTTACAAATGAAATGAGTGTGGCAAAAACTTCGTACCAGAGTTCAGTCACTACTTGACATGAGAGTTTATATTGGAAATAAATCATATAAATGTATGTGCTAGAGGCTTCCCCGAGGTATCTGAACTCGCTAGACATCAGAATATACATCTTGGACAGGAACCACACAAATGCAACTTGTGTGCTAAGGCTTTTTACCCGAACATCAAAACGGAAACATCAGAGTATTCATACTGGAGAACAGCCTTACAAATGTAACGAATGTGGTAAGCCTTTTTTAAAAAAAATCAAATGGGCCGGGTGTGGTGGCTCACACCTGTAATCCTAGCACTTTGGGAGGCCGAGGTGGGTGGATCACCTGATGTCAGGAGTTCAAGACCAGCCTGGCCAGCATGGTGAAACCCCATCTCTATTAAAAATACAAAAATTAGCTGGGCATGGTGGTGGGCGCCTGTAATTCCAGCTACTTGGGAGGCTGAGGCAGGAGAATCACTTGAACCCGGGAGGTGGAGGTTGCTGTGAGCCAAGATTGCACCATTGTACCCCAGCCTGGGTGATAAGAGCAAGACTCCGTCTCAAAAAAATAAAAAATCAAATGTTCATGTTTTTGAAGTTTGAGAGAATTTATACAAGAGAAAAGCCAAATGATTGTGCTTAACATGGAAGGACCTCTAATCAGTAGTGTGTCTTCAGGCTTCACCAAATTATTCATGCTGGATAGAAACCTTGCAAATGTAATTAACAAGGTAAAGTTTTAAACCATTTCTCAACAGATTCCACATTAGGTAAACCATACTATGGATAACTAAGTCTGCTTCTCCATCCAGGCTTGACCTGGAATGATACCTGCTGTAAAATAACTACAAGACAAAATTTGTCAAAACCCCAGGTAATATGTACATCAAAGGAGCAAAAGCATGTGTGCAAATGGCTAATTCAGTATATAAAATAATTGTATTCACTTTGACATTTCTTAAAAAGGCTAGTTAACTATTTGTGACCTTCATCCTAAAGTATGAAGTCTTTCCTACACATCCTTCATTGTGGCCTCTGGGAATAAATCAGATGAGAGGGCTACTTCATTAGGTGTGGTTCCTTCATATCCATGTTTTCTGGAAGATTAAGGTCACTGTACTGTGTGAGTTAAGCAGCATGGAGTACAGTGGAGAACAATGTAAATTTACAACGTAAGTCACTGAGCTTGTGTTCACAGTGTCCTTTGACAAACAGTTACTTTGGGATATGGGAAATATACGGTGTACTTTCACTACCCTAAAAATCTGTGCTCCACCTAGATTTGTACATTGTTTTCACTTCCGTCACTTATTGCTTCACATGTTTTGCAGCTGGTTTTAAGTGCACACACACAAGATTCTCAAATCATCTTTGTAAATTGACATTTCTACCATGTAACCACCCTGTCACTCAGGCTGGAGTACAATAGTGATAAGGTCAACTTTTGGAACCCATCTGCAAATTTCCTAGGATTCTTAGAGTAGCTTCCTAGCTTTTTCTTAATTGCTGTATATCAGTTATAGAGAAGGGGACCTGCAATAGGACTGGCCGTTCGGCTCCTGCTACTTCCCTAAGGGGTAGCAAGGCTGGAGGGAGAGTGGAATATGGTGTTCCCCTCCGAGTGTTAGGGGGACTTAGTAGCGTCCTAAGGGTTTTAGCCTCAGGAGCACTTGGTAAGGGGGCGATAGGGATGGTCGCTGTTCATCCTTAGAGACAAGTGGCTCTTGTAAAAGGGGGTCATCTGACTGGGCACGGTGGCTCATGCCTGTAATCCCAACACTTTGGGAGGCCGAGGCAGGCGGATCACCTGAGGTCGGGAGTTCAAGACAAGCCTGACCAACATGGAGAAACCTCATCTCTACTAAAAAGGCAAAACTAGCTGGGCATGGTGGTGTGTGCCTGTAATCCCAGCTACTTGGGCGGCTGAGGCAGGAGAATTGCTTGAACCTGGGAGGTGGAGGTTGCAGTGAGCTGAGATCAAGCCATTGCACTCCAGCCTGGGCGACAAGAGCGAAACTCCATCTCAAAAAAAAAAAAAGGGGGGGTCATCTATATCATCTATAATATCTAATTCTACCTTAGAACTTTCCTTTGGTTGGAGGGGGAGGTGGGTTCTGGGAGTGTCACAGATTGTTAGGTTTTGGTATAGAGTCATAAAAGCCTGTGCATATGGGATTTCTGACCATTTGCCCTGCCTCTTGCAAAATAGGTCGAATGGCAGGATGGTGTCATAATTAAGGCTGCCAGTGACTGCCCATTGTTCCAGGCTGGGCAGTTCATAATGGGGACAGACAATGTTGCACAAAAACAAATTACACATTTTGTCTTTAGAGTGTCAGGGTCAAATTTATTTCAATGGTTGAGGATATAGCCAAGCATGGAATCAGGTGGAAGAGGTGGAGAGTTGCCCATAGTGGTCTGGAAAAGAGAAGAGGACTTTAAAAAGTGGAGGGCTCCTCCAGCCTGGGCGACAGTGCGAGACTCCGTCTCAAAAAACAAAAACAAAAACAAAAAACCCAAAAAAGTGGAGGGCTCATTAGGTGACCCAAATTTTACCTGGGGCATCCCCCTGGAAAAATTCTGGGCCCAGAGTGGGGTCCCTGGGAGCATCCCCCCTTTAGGGCTCCAACTTAGTCTGTCAGACATCTCTGACCTTAGATGGGTGCTGGCACCGCTTTGGAATGGTTCTCTCCACCACTGAGGACCTGACAAGTTTTTCTATCCCACTTAAAGCAACTCTTTAACCCTTTCAACTTAGGCAGTAATAAATTCCCTTTCATGAATTCCCTCCACCACCATACACCACACAGACCACCTACGATATGCCCAGACCCTCTGACTTGTATAACCTTTTTTGCATAGTTAGGTGGGTTTTCTGTCCTTGGCCAGTTGAATGAGGGAAGGGAAGAATTTAGCATAAGTGCTTAAGTCACCTGAAACCTGTGAGTTCGCCCTGGATGAGCTACTGCTGCCAACTGCATCACACATAGGGATCAGGGATAGATCTCTATCTATCCCTGAAAAGGATAGAAAAGAGTCTTTTCCCCTTCTGGGCAGGGCAGCCATCCCTGTTCACTCCTTGGCCTTCAGAGACCACCAGAGAGTGGCCCCAGTCAGTTCCCCCCAATTACCAAGGAGCTACTAGAAAACGGCTGCTGAAAGACTGAAAAAGGAGAAAAGGAAAAGAACTCAGAAAAAGAAAAAAAGGAATAGGACTCAGGTTTCTCACCTGAACCAAGCGGTGGCAGTCAGGCACTTCCACACAGAAACCTTTCAGTTTCACCGGAGAATGGCCCTGGCCAGAAACTTGCAGTTGTCTTCGTGCTTAGGTGCTGTCCACCGAGGGTCCTGAGTTGGAAAGGAAAAGAGAACCTAGACAAAGACTTCCCTGTATGTAAAAGGGGAAAGGAGAAAAAGAAATCCCAAACTTTGGACCTACTTTCTCTCCTGGCTAGCTCACCAAAATATGTTACCAGTAGAGGGTCTTGATTGCAAGTTGTTCAGGTTCTTGGCATTTTGAACAAAGAATTGGAAAAAACACCCAGCAAAGCAAGGAAAGAATGCAGCGTCAAAAGAACGAAAACAGGAATCTACAGAAAATGAAAGTACACTCCACAGTGTGGGAACAAGCCCTAGCAGTGGCCTGGATATAGAATCTTCTTGGGTCCAAATGACTACTGCAGCTTTTCCATTGGCCGCTTGGTGGTCTCCTCATATAAATAAAATGGTGGCCTGCAATCAGTCAACCAATCAGAGGCTGAAGTAAAGTTACAAAGGTCTTTACTTTGTAAAAGTAAAAGCAAAAAGCAATCAATCAGAGGTACTTTTAATTTCCCACCTGCCACGCAGACAAGGTAGAGGTTTGCAAAGGGAGTAGTCTCTGGTTCTTTTGTTACTTAGGTGTGGAAAGTTAGGGGTTTCCCTTCAATTTAGTTCAAGGAAGTTAGCACGAAACAGCCTTAGGTTTCCTGCCTCCAGACCCTATTCTCCTGCCTCAGGACCGCAGGCCCACGCCACCACACCTGGTTAATTTTGTATTTTTTGTAGAGATGGGCTTTCGTCATGTTGCCCAGACTGGGAGAAATATATTTTAAGGTATAATTAGCATGTTATCTTTTAAAAATCCCGGTGATATACTTGCACATTAGCAACAGAGCTCTTGCTTCCACATTATACAATTTCAGTTCATTATCTTGTATCATTCGAATT